AACATAAAATAAATTTTAAAAAAGAGAAAGAATAAAAAAAGAAATCACAATGCAAAGCAGAAATTTCAGAAAGGCCAGGTGCCTCTGCTGGCTCTGCCCTGCTATGACTGGCTGGGAGAGACTGGAAGCCAACCCACTGGATCTGTGGCAGTTCCTCTATGGAAGGGCAGAGGAAGGGCATCAGTACCAAATAAACATAGAAGAGGAATCCTTCTCACAAAGCTTCTGTGCAGTTCTCCCTGTTATTTGTCTGTTATTTGCACCACTTCCCATCTTCCAAATGAACCTGCCCCCTGCACTGCTCACCTGCCATACTGCGCCTGAAGCCTCCTCATTGACCATGCTTACTGTTCAGTGTCTCTCTCTCCTCTGTTCACTGAGCCTCACCATGATGGCTCCATGAGATTTGTCTACTTCACATTCACTAATGTGTCTCTAGCATCTAATACCATGCCTGGAATACAGCAGGTGCTTGGCAAATGCTTGTTAAAGGCATTGATAAATGATTGTTTCCTGCACAAACTATGATCTGCAGTGAACTACAGCTTCGACCCGAATGGCTCCCCCATTGCCACCTGAAGAACTCCTATTCATCTCTCAAGGGCCAGTTTAGTTACCTTATACTCTGTGAAGTTTTTTCCTGACTCTGTCCATGAGATATAGTGTTTGGTCTATGGGAGTAGTTGATAACCTCATATGCCCCACCCCACCAGGTTGTGAGGTGTTCAGTGGAAAGAACTACATTTTTTTTTCATCTTGGCAGTTAACATGTATTGGAAGCAGGCCTGGACTACTGATTCCAGAGACAGAGATTAAGGGTGGAAACCACATGGAAGGAGGAGCAGGTTAAGACCCAGACAGAGGGGGCTGGAGAGATGGCTCAGTGGTTAAGAGCACTGACTGCTCTTGCAGAGGATCCAGGTTTGATTCCCAGCACCCACATGGTGGCTACAAACTGTCCTTAACCCCAGTTCTAGGGGAATCCAAAACCCACTTCTGACCTCTGTGGCATTGCACGACACACACGGGTGCACTTACATACATGCAGGCAATACACTCATACACATAAAAAATAAATAAAAATAAAAAAAGAGCCAGCCAGAGTTGTGCAAGGCCCAGGTGGTCAGACACCAGCAGAACAGGAGCCTGATCAGAGCCCACAGGGTTCAGGTCCTAATAAAACGAGACCCAGGGCCTCCCATCCCCCAAAGGGAGTGGGGAGAAACATGCAAGCCAGTGGGGAAGCTTTGGCACTAACCCAGAACTGAGAATGTTCACTTCACTGTGAACTGCAAATCTGTTAGAAGCCAGGACAACACCTAGCAGCACAGCCACAATATGTAAATTTCCCCCAGCCTGGCAGGCATTGAAGGGTTGGGCAATGCCTGCTGCTAATCACCGCTGCTGGGGCAGGAGAGGCCCAAGGGCCCAGAGACTGCCAGGCATCAGGTGCCACACCTAGAGAGCCCTTGAAGAACCCCCACACGGGCAGAGCGGTCAGGTCAGAGCATAACCCCAACATGGTCTGCCCAACCTAAAGCTGCCCTGATGTAATGCAGTGTCTTTGATCTTCCTCTTAGTTCTGGGGTTCATCTAGGGGCTGACAAGCACCAGGACAAGGTGGAATATGCCTGGAGTCACAGGCCCCTTTCAGCAGCCCTTGTTCTCTCAGGGTCAGAACTGTATAATACTGACTCTGTCCTGCAACTCAGATACACTGGGCTTCCGCAGCTTCCAAACCGTGGGAACCCGCCAGTGCAATACAGACCCTTAGACCACAGACATGTAAAATTCAGGGCTCTCCAAAAGTGGGGTCCAGGCCCCCTACCCTCCCAAGTGAGGTACCTTAAAAATCACCCATGAGGAATTGCTTTCTCTCGCTGCTATCCTCTTCCCCGCGTCTGTCGGGACATGCCTCTCATGGAGGGCACTCCCCACAGCTCTCCCACATACCTGTTTCTCTAACAAAGCCACAGCCACCTCATCAGCACATTGGCACCACGGCACTGGAATACGTTGTTTTTAAAGCACTTGATTGAATTTTAAATTTTTCAGTGAGTCAATTTAAAGAAAATAGCTGAAGGGCTGGGGTGTAGCTCAGTCGTAAAGCACATACTTAGCATGCATAAGGCCTTGGGTTTTACTCCTAGCATGAAAAAAGTTAGAGTTTTTGAGTAAATACTGGAACAGCAGGTAAGAGACAGGTGACACTTGGAGCAAGCTGTAACATAGGATGTCTCTAACAGAAGGAGGTGGAACACTCAATCCCAGGCCAGGGGGCAGGGTAGACGAGGTCATTCTGTGCAACAATGACCTCACACAGCCTTAAGGTGCAACTAGGTCACACCAGGCCACTCCAGGGTGACCGCTCTAGGCCTGACACTGCAACACTCAAATACCTTTTCCATACATAGCCACTTAGGAATCAGCTGGCTCTGGAAAAAAGTGTCTTTGGTTTAGAAGACCATTCTGATCTCTTGCTCTGCCCTCCCCCACTGCATCAGGTCAAGTTTCTCCAGAGTCCCAGGGCCTCACAGCCTGCTCCAGGGCATAGCCCAATGTCCAGGCATGGCAGCTGCAGAGCTGGCACGAGTCCTAAGACCAAGCAGGTGACTGGACTGGGGGGGGGGGCGGGGGCAGGTATGTGGGTTGGGAGGGGGGCCCGCGGCATGCAAAGCTCTGACCCTAGCCTATTGTGTATCTTGTCCAACTTCCTCACTCAAATACCCAGTTGAGAGAAAGCAACAGTGTGGCCCATTAGAACCCCATCTCTGCACCTTCAAAGCCCCGTCATTCCTTCTGCTGGGCTCCCCTGCTCAGCATGAAGCTAGGCAGCAGAGAGGAGCAGGACACTCACCTTCTCCCTTGATGTCGTGAGGGTACCCAATGACAGCAGTTTCTGGCACAGCGGGGTGGTCAGCCTGTGCACAGCAGAAGACAGAAATGCCCTGATGTGACTTGGAGTGCTCATTGTCACCCTCACTCTGATATCAACAGAGTCATCATTAAGGTGTCAGGCAAAGGAGTAGGCGGGCTGAGCTCACCATTGCATCCTCAATCTCTGCAGTTCCCAGGCGGTGGCCACTGATGTTGATGACATCATCCATGCGCCCCGTGATTTGGTAATATCCACCTTCTGTACGGTGAGCTCCATCTCCAGTGAAGTAATAGCCTGCACCACAGTGGGGCATTCAGCGCCACAGACTCTGAACCAGGCCCCAGTAGAGAACTCAGCCTTCCAAGAGAGACAAAGAGCAGGGCCCATGTTCCAGCCCCACTCTAGAAACTAACTCCAAAGGCTGCTGGGGTTTCCTGGCCTATGAACCCACTCTAGCAACTAATGCAGACACGTCTCTAGGTGGCACCTGGCTGTGTCCTAGTGAGAGGGTAAGTGGCACTGAGACAGCAGTACATGAATGATGTCAGGACCACAGGTGTTCAGGGAGCAGAAAACAGACAGCAGCATAGTTGGAAAGCCCCATAAGATGAGAGTCAGCTGCAAGCTTGAGACTGAAAATTGTAAGGCAGAGACAATGGCATTCACACAGACCTCTAATGCAACAACTCAGAGGAAACCAAGAAGAAAATGAACGTAAACTGAGAACATCAGCCTGTGTGATAACTTTTCAATCATGTTTCTTTACTCACCTCTCCTAGCAGCTAACAGGAAGTTCACCCCCGGCCAGAACCATGTGCTAACAGCCATGTTCATGTTACCTGACCCCACAGAAGCTCCTTGATAGGCATGTCCGCTCCAGCTGCTCACCTGGGTATGCTCTGAAGTAGGCATCTATGAACCTCTGGTGATCACCATAGATGGTCCTGGCCATGCCTGGCCAAGCCTGGGAGATGCATAGGGCCCCAGAGACATCACCGCCCTCCACGATGTTACCCTACAGACCCAGGGAGATACTTATGAGACACTGGGCCAGCTCTGGGAACAAAAGCAAAGAACTGACCATCACAAACATCCTGACTACTTGGCCTGAGGCAAAAAAAAATAAATGAATGAAGAACTGACTGGAACTGTCCAGAGCTTTCCTCCTGAGGAAGTCTGAGGAGGACTCTGGGCTCACAGCACTCATCAGCTGAGCTGTTTGAGAAGGGGCTGCAGGGAGTGTATGAGGATCTGGCCTACTCCAGGGAACAGACCCTGCATACCTGACAAGGGCAGGGAACGGGATGCCAGGTGAGCAGCAGGAAGCATGTGCAGGGGATGAGCTCTGCAAGGCCTCACATACCTTCTCATCCATGAGTGCAGGGACAATGCCAAAAAAGGGCCTCATGGCCATACCCGGGAGGATCTCTGCCCCATCTTCTGAGGGCCGAGGTGCAATGCAGATGCCACCGGTTTCTGTGAGGAGGAAGAAATACCAATTGGCTTGAGAATCAGAGGTGGGTAGCTTCCAGAATGTGTCCATCCACGGTTGGACTTCAGGCTTCTCCACCGTGGACATGAGCAGGACCCTAAGCTCCACATTCAGCAGATAGGCGCTACCCTCTGCTCAGCCGGCCCCTGCTGTATCAGGCCCTTGCTGGAAATGGGAAAACGTGGAGGCCACCCACTTGCATAGGAAGGCAAAAGAAACAAATTTCTTGAAGCCAGGACACATTTGATGCACAGCAATGAATAATGAGGCCCATGCAGTCATCTCCTTGACACTTACATCTATGGGCTATATGAAACATCTCATGAAACCTGGTTGTGAAAGGTTCTCTGTCCATGTCTTCCAGCAGGGACAAGAGCTGTGTTATTCGAACCTCTCTCATGCTGGCTATGGAAGGGCAAGACCTCAGACAGCTGCGTTATTATATCAGTGGTGGTCTCTTGCCCTGTATATCCCGAAGAGTCAGATATTTAAGACAGAATAGATCAGAACAAAATGCCACATAAAAATCTTCCTTTCCCCACTAAAATTTAAATTTTGACTCATGGTCCCTTGAATAGAACTTGTCTTTCTCAAGAGCAGCTGTATTCAGAAAGGAACTCCCTTGAGGCTGGTAGTGTTACTCAGTGGTTAGAAAACTGTTGCACATACACGAAGCCTTGGGCTTGATTCCCGGGACTGCATCAAAATTAAAAAGGAAGCAGGTAAGCAAAGGCCCCTGCCTACAAAGAGAAGTGAATCCTGACAACCTGCTCTTCTACTGGCCTTGGGTCACTGCCCTCACTGGGTCACTCCATTTCCTCCTGAGGTTACAGAAAGCACCCTCACTCCACATGGAATGGAAGCTTAGAAGAGTTACCACACCTCCTCCAATAGCCAGGCCCTCTCTCTGAGCTTTCTCCTCAGAGCTGATTGCTAAAGGGGCTTGGGCCTTGTAAGAGCTGTCACATTCACCATTTAAGGGCTGTTCTTGCCAGGTGTGGTGGTACACGCCTTTAATCCCAGCACTCAGGAGGCAGAGCCAGGCAGATCTCTGTGAGTTCAAGGCCAGCCTAGTCTACATAGCTAGTTCCAGGCCAGCTGTAGCTACAGCTATAGGTAGACCCTGTCTCAAAAAGACCAAAAAATAAAAATTTAAAAAAAAAAGAGCTGGTCTCAGTCACACACAA